CAACCTTCCGATTACAAGACAAACGTCCATCTCTTGAGCCACAGGTTGGTGATGACATCAGCAAAGCAACATCTTTACTTTTACTAACAAAATAAACAAAAACACTTTCACCTCCTGCATCGTTTAGACTCACCTGTTCCTCTTGGTGCTGTGTTTAAGGTCATTATCTTCATCTTCATCATTCCTATGGAGACCAGTTGATTGACAGCTAGAGCTGATTTCTGTCAGGAAGATGTAAAATCCATAGTTAAAGAGTGAAGTGAGACAGTTGAGACACAGGTGAAGGATAGAGAGGTGAGGGTCAGACCTGAAGGTGAGGTCTTCTTTCTCTTATGGGGCGGGTCCTCGATGATGCGGCTGATGTCTCGATCAATCAGCTCTCCTGGTCTCTCCCACACAGAGAGATGGATTGTGGGATTGAAGAAGAACACTCTGTCATCTCCAGTCCAGACCACACACCTGAAGACACACATGCACACATGGGTGAATCACGAAACGAGGGTCATACCATGAGCCTCACTGCCCTCTAGATAAGGGTCAATTTTCAGAAGTGAATCATCTACCCTGAGCACCATCTTGAGTCTCCTCCCATGAAGACTTTTGATAGGGTGGAGGTCAAACAGGGCTGAAACATCTCTGATTATTGATCCTTACTGACAAGCTAATTATGTGCGGCTTCAGTCTCACAGAGAAGAATACAAACAAAAGATCGAAAAAATAAAAGAATGTCTGTATAACACATATTTTGTGCAGCTCCTTTCAAACATTTACAATAATGCCTCGGCATGTACATGCACATCGATATATATGAAAGTAACCACAACACTGATAGATGGGTAGATACACACATATACTTACTATAGTATACATAGGTTTGCTTATTAAATATGGTATAACGATTATGGGGTATGTATTGTATGGAAGTACTCTGGGTACATGTATATGAGTGTAAATGTGTGTGTAGAGGCTAAGCCTACGCTTGAAGTCTCTGAGGTGTTCGTTGGCGGGGGTGATGCGATGCCACTGTTATGAATGAAACCTGTTACAGTCCAACAACTCCAGCCGTACTTATCTTCTCCATTTAACATCTTTATTCCACTTCCATCAGTTGCATTTGTTGTTAACAGTTCTCTTCATATTTAAAAAGAACAGATCCTAATAGTCATGCAAAGTCATGAATAAAAGCCTTGTTGTATTTCGGCGGTCGGTAGAGTTTTAGAAGAATCGGCCATATCCAATAATTGAACTCCAAAGGCAGGGTAGGTAGGGGACGGGAGCTGCCGAATTTTATGTTTATTTTCAAAAACCAAGGTTAAGCTACCACCTCTGCCCGTAAGCCTAGGTGAGCTGAAGAAGGCACAGTCTGGAGGGAGAACCTCCGAGAAGGCGAACGACTCACCAGGGCGAAATCAAGTCTCCGTCAGGAACAAAACGTCCAGCCCCGAGGTGAGGAAAAAGTCATTTAAAACAAAAGTCTTATTCACCAGCGACCTTACATTTAGTAGAGCCATCTGTTTCATGGGCGCCATGTCTCTACTCGTAGTGCGTCGCAAACGGCTTAGGTTGCTGTGATCCACGCCACCTCTGGAAGACGTTATCCAGGTCCTGGGAGGACTGGGTAGACTTACTGCCCGACAAAGCAGAGCCACCAACAGCTAAGCGATCTGACAAGAGCGATGAGCATAATACCAAGAGAATGAGGAGTGCAATGCAAAAGTCAAAAAAGAGGGTTCGAAAGGAGAGGCAAGGACGACAAAAACTTGAAACTGGTATTCAATACCAGTGTTGGGTAAGTTACTTTAAAATAGTAACTTAGTTACATTACTAGTTACT